CCCCGTGGACTTCATGTTGGGTAAATTCAATGACCCAATCCCCGGGGAATCCAGCCAGTGGATCAGGGAGCACCAACGACGGATGCAGGTGGTTACAGAGAGTGCTAGGGAGCACATGCGGGCGGCTGCTGAACGACGGAAAGGGAGAGCTGACAGGCAAGCGCAGGAGGAAATCTTGCCGGTTGGACAGCATGTTTACCTACAGGACCACTCCCACCGAGGAAGATCAAAAATCCAGGACGCATGGGCCCCAGAAGTATTCCTGGTAGTGAAGCCCCCTGAGCCCGGTGGGGTGGTATATGCTGTGGCCCCGCAAGAGAGACAAACTGAGGTACGCCACGTCCATAGAACCATGCTTAAACCTGTGCTTGCTAGGTGGCAATCTCCCAAAACGAGAAGAGGAACATCCCCTGCGACCACCAACAGCGAACCTGAGGAGGAGGGCCTCTGGCTAGCCAGCGACGCTCCAGGCAGACCGCTCGCAAAGGAACCTTGCATCGGAACTCCGGTGGAAGCAGAGGTGGATCCACCAGTTCAAGAGAACCAGAGTTGCCCAGTGAACTCTGACCCCCCGTCACTTAGGAGGTCCAGTCGAAGGACCGCTGGCCTGCATTCAAATCCATATAATCTGCCAGCTAGATGTAGGGGCAGAGGCAGGGCAAGGGCTATAACCTCCTAGATACAGTGCTGTCCAACCACCTTCACACATTACCGATAAGATTGTGGTATTGTCGGGCCGCCAATTCAAGAGCCCCGGGGTGAATGTAACCGGTGGGTTGTTTGTCCCTAATGAGCCGCCGTAGAGGGAATTCCCCCCCAAGCCGGTACGTAGACTTCCGCATTCCATTACATTAGCACTCATATATAAACACACAGCAGACACCCGTACTGACGCTACATCCCTGTGCCACTTGCGCCAATCGTGGTCCCTGGGGCGGGTATTCCTCTCACTGCTGAAGGCCTGGTAGGTGTGTTTGTGCTCCTCATTTTTTAGTGAATTCTCAGTTCTCCTTTTTGTGTTTTAGACGCTGGCTCAGACTGCTGCGTGTGTAAAGGAGGCGGCCTGCTATGACGTAGCCGCTCTCTTGTAGTCATACTAGGTAATGCCAGTTTACAAGTAGAGGAGGAATATTTATTACATGTGTTAACTCTTTTTTGTTCTTATAGGCGCTGAGTGCCTTGCAGTTTTTATTTGGGTCTAATTGGCATTTAATTTTGTTTTTGTTGTTTCTTTATTTAATTTACTTATTTACTGTGTTTGTTTGGTGCTTAGTTCATTTTAATATATTGAACCCTGTGATTGGGTACTTGTGCTCATTGTGTCTTTTTTCTGCTCAGGGTCTGGTCCGGGCGTGGCTTCTCATGGTGGGGGATTTGGTGATAGAGTTACCCACTGCTGCACCATCACTCCTTTTGAATGCCGTGGTATTTTGCACCTCCCTTCACCACTTGTACATGTTCAGTTTGCCTCTTTTCTTGATTTGGTGTGTGTGTATGAATGTGTGGCACGGAGCGTAGTGAGTGCTCTATTCCAGCCCCTTAGTCCTCCATCGTGTGTGGCCGCTACTGGCCAGCCCTGAGTGTTGCTTTCTTTCTTTCTGGTTAGCATTGGAGCACATATTTTATAATTGGTATTTTTAATGATTACATTTAATACAATGAAATAAAAACATATATTTTCCTATTTCTTAGGTCTCATTTTGCCAAATAAATTGCTCAAAATTGTATAATTTGTGTCTGGTCAATTACTTGTTGCATCCCACCATTATTCCAGGGCCCTGCGGTCACATATATAATAATAAAAATATATATAAATATAATAAGTGTTTCTGGCTTCTGTTTTTCAGAGTATGAGGCTCACTCACATACAGAGAGAGAGACACACACTCTCCTGTTTTTAAAGGAAATGAAATAAACAACGAGGATCATCTGGTATAAGATATCAATAAACTTTATTGTAACATTACAGTTTTTCTCAGTTGCTTTGGTGCATTTCTCACATCAGACTTAAACTTCTCAAAACTATTAGTTCAACCTCCACAACATTGGGTCATTGGTGCACATCATCATGGCAGTTTCTCATTCCTCTGAACACATTTCAAATGCTTTCGTTCATGTATCAATAACTTTCAAACAATTCTCTGCGTTTTTTTAACATTATCATTTGCTTCTGTCCTGTCAGTCAGAATGAAACATACTTATGACTTCTGAATAGTCATTCACTATAAAACTAACTGTTCTCATTTCATTGCTTTGGTCATCACATACAAAATTGTTGAACTAGTTCTCAAAATCATAACTGTCAAGCTAATTTCATACATTCCTTTATCTTTTTTTTCCTGTAAATATTTCCTAAATTGAACAATTTATCTCAGGTGAATTTCAGCTTCACTCTGAGGTATGCTTTATTGTTCATTTTTGTCACAGTTCTACCATAATGATATTTCTGTATGTTTGTTCTATGTATATACATGTATGTGTCTGCACTTCTACAGCATTGTGCAACAAAAATACAAAGAGCATATGCAGTACACATACATACATACATACATATACATACAGTACATACATACATACATACATACAAAACATACATACATACACACATACATACATACATACAGTACATACACACAGTAGATACACACATACATAGATACACACACACGTACATACATACAGTACATACATACATACATAGATACACACACACATACATACAGTACATACATACAATACATATATACAGTACATACATACATAGATACACACACACACACATACATACAGTACATACACACATACATACATACATATATGTCAGTTACGTCTCTAAATACAGTCTTTGTGTAACTTTACTGTAGTTTTTACTGTAAATGGCTGCACAGGTCGTGTATAGTGTGCTCATAGTCGTGCTCAAGTGTCACCGAGATCTGACTTTTTTACTCTGAAAACACAGAGAGAGTAAACTTTCACAATGAAAACATGACTAAGTCATTTGACTGTGATGTTCATACTCAATGTTGTTAGGACTTATTATTTTGATGACATAGACCAGTGTCTCCCAAAGTGGGGTCCGCGGCCCCCTGGTGGGCCGCGAGGGTACTGCAGGGGGGCCGCGGGAGGTCATAAAAAAATAAATAATAATAATATAATTATTTATTGTTAAATTTATAATGTTCTGTTTGTAATATTAAAATATTTGTGTTCATTATTTGACTTGAATAATCCACTGTAATCATTTTTGTATTACAATGTTTGTAGCAGAGGCTATTTCCCCAAAATAAAATAACCAGAAGAGCCTATTCTTAATGTTGTCTTCTTGGTTATTATTTTGGGGGGCCACGCAGACCCGTCAGATTTTTAAGGGGGCCTCAGTGTTACTGAGTTTGGGAACGGCTGACATAGACAGTTTCATTAACGTTTGGACTTGCTTTTGAGGAAAAAACTTTTCATTTTGAGAAAGTGACGCACTTTTGCAGGTTACCCACGAGGTTCTGCAGTTTCCACTAATTGTTCTGAGAAATGCACCAACAGTTGTGCAAATGTGAAGAATGATGTGAGAAATGCACCAAAGCGACTGAGAAAAACTGTAAACAACAGAGAAAACTAGAAACCAGAAAGCAGACAGGATGAGGAGAGAGACACACACACAATAGACACACAGAGACACACACACACACACACAGAGAGACACACACACACACACACACGGAGAGGCACACACACACACACAGAGAGAGACACATGGAGAGACACAGAGAGAGACACAGAGATACACAGAGGCACAGAGATACACAGAGAGACAGAGAGACACAGAGATACACAGAGAGACAGAGAGACACAGAGATACACAGAGAGACAGAGAGATACACTGAGAGATACACAGAGATACACAGAGAGACACAGAGATACACAGAGAGACACAGAGATACACAGAGAGAAAAGAGATACACAGAGAGACAGAGATACACAGAGAGACACAGAGAGATCAAAGCTTATTCAGACTGGTAAAACAAACACCTAAAACACAGTGCAATATATTCTTAGAAAACTATTCATAAATAATATAACAAATAAAAAATGAAAAAACAGTGTTCTCAGTTGAGGCTCCTCCTCCAGTCTTCCAGGGTCAGACCTGAGGCCGGACAGTACCACCGCCCCTTCACCTGCGTGTGTCCTGTGGTCTTGCTCTTGTTCTCACCACACTGCTTGCAGGTGTAGTGGTACTTTTCTTTGGCCAACCTCTTCTTCGATGGTTCGCCCCTTAAAGACCTTATGACGGGTTTGATTTATTTAGAAATACAGTTTTAATACCATTTTATATTAGAAGAGAACTACTAAAGGTTTCAAAATCAATTGTTGTTTTTTTTGTCTGATCCCCCCAAATCGAAATAACCCCATAGCAACGCCCTTAGAAACGAAAAAACTTCACAGCCCTTGGTGACGTCAGAACGGGTACGTTTCAATGCTGTAAGTTGTTTACAATTTGGTATTCGTTCTTTTTTCGCGGATATTCAAGATGACAAGGCCGTGTACAGCGAGTCTAACATAACTACTAGAATATACCATTTCATTGTCACTGAGATTGTCCAGTGGTTGTGTCGCTGGACTATCAATCCAGATACTTGGGTTCAAATCCCACCTCGGACACTTTTTCACACTCAAAACGGCAATTTATGTGTAGTGAGCAATTGTCACCTGTAGAGGGCAGTATTGTGTTGGGCATCAGTGGAGAGAAGAGAGAAAAGGCAGTCCTGTGGCATAGATCCATGGTTTTCAATGCATGGGCGTAACCCGCTATGACGTCACACACAGGTTAGAGCATAGACAACTTAAAATCATGAAAAACACGTTCTTTTTATAAAATATAGGATTTTTTTTGCCGGAATCTCTTTCAAATTGACATTGTCATGCAATTTTGATATCCACTATTTTTTTTTTAAAAACCCGTCATAAGGTCTTTAATGCTCGCTCCTCATCCTCTTGGGCAGCTTTATTCAGCCTCCATGCACGCTGCCTTGGCTGAGAGGGAAGGCCTGCTGGAGGCTGCTGCAGCGGCGGAGCCTCGGGACACGGAGGAGCATGGGGAAGTGGAGGAGCATATTGAAAAGGTGGAGCATGGGGGAATGGAGGAGGATAAGGGTATTGGGGGTGCAGATGTGGAGGAAATGGGGAAATGGAGGAGGGTAATGTAAATGAGGGGCTTGCTGGAGAGGAGGAGCTGGTCCATATTGTGAAGGGAAAGGGGGAGGTGGTGGATGAGGCACAGGTTGGCTGGGTCCTGCAACATTTCGCTGGCGGGGGAAAGCTTCTCCCTCACGATTCTCAGGCTCTTCAAAAGTCATCTCCTGAGCATGTGGTTCAGGGGCAGCAGGGAGAGTGCTCACTGAGGGCAGAGGCTCCTTGGCCTGGTGCAGATGTTTTGGAAGAACAGTGCCCTGCAGAAGCATGTCCCTGTCCTTCCTCTTGTCCCTCCTGAGCCGCCTACAAGACAAACATTCATGATTTGATACAGATGAACCTGTCCTCCATAAGGTCATTACACAGTTTATTACACTGAAGATACATCTTTACACTGTGGTGACTGTTTGGGAAAGGTACATTTGTATTTGTATTCACGTGTTCCTTTGATGATAGGTTTCCTCTCATTACATTGTTCACACAATGATCATTTGAAAGTTACATATCATTTAAACATTGACATGAAAGGAAAGGCGCTGATAAGAAGGAAACAGTTCTTATATTGTTCTGTCTGTTTTCAACTTCATACAAACATGTGCTGTGATAAATAAAACAACACATACCATGAGGAGACAGTGGTGTTGTTGACTGGTACCAGCACCACGTTGGTCTGACCCAGGACCACCCTGCTGTCCTCCAGCAGCTGTCTGAGGTGGCTGTAGACGCTGACGATGGACTGTGGGATGGGCATGGTCTTGCCCTTTACGTCCTTTGGCCTGTTGCGTGCCTGATCAAACTCTTTGGCCAGTCTGAGGCAAACACACTCACTGACTCGGTTTGCTTCAGGGTCCTGAGCTGCTTGGCCATGAGTCATGTACAGTCTGTGGGAGAAAAACATAATATGTTTTGGACTGAACAAGTATGTAAAGTCATGCAGAACCAAGGGACAATGTGAACAGGGAATGCGATAACAGAATTTGAACGTAACATGGTGACATGTCTCTATGTCAATGATTAGCATTGGACCAAGAGGAGAGCAAGTTGTGGTCAAGCACCTTTCTGCCGCCTGCTGTCCTGGAGCAGAGCCACTGGGCTTTCTGGGTGCTCTCCATGGTCCTGCGGACACCTGTCCCTTCTTTTTACCCTTCTGGCTGTACCTAAACAGTGACAAAGACATCCATATGCTTCATTCGCTCAATGGAATGTATGTATAATCATGGAGTACATAATCATTACTCTTTGTACCTTGAAGGTGTCTTGTCCATGTCATGGAGCTTTCGCGAAAGTTCACCGTGGTAGACCCGGCTGCTGATGCCCAGGCCACAGGCTGCTCTTCCTCGACTCATCAATACCAGCAACGCCCACATCCAGTCAACCAATAACCACCAGGACAGCAAGTTAAAAGCCGGAGACGCCCACTTCCCGGCCTTCTGAAGTCTGCAAGGTGCATGTCGCTAACGCACCTGTTCGCAATGCATGCGTTGTTTTGGAGGGGTCGCTTCTGCTCACGTGTTGCTCGTGCGCGTGACCCGGCTGTTCTCAGTCTGGCTGCTTGTGGTCTGCTCCTCCTCCGCGTTCCTGCACCTGCTGTGTCTCCGCCGCTCTCCTCCTCTGCGGGCTCTTTCTGCGGGCTGCTCCGCGGGGCCCCTCCGCGGGCTCTATGCTGATCGTCTCCTCGTGGTCTGCTGCTGCGTGCAGACTGTCTGGCGGTGCCGTGCGTGTCCCTGCCTCCGATTGGCGGTGCCGTGTTGTCCCGTTGCTTTCCCACGTCTTCTGGCATATGCGGTGGTGAGTTGCTGACCTGCGGACGGATTATTCCCTGCGCACTGGACTGCAGGCGTCATTTTTCGCCCCGTACTTGGTCTGCAGGCTCCGTTTTCACATGTGTTCGAGCTAACTGAGGGACAATGCATATTAAATGGCAATAATCTCTATTGTCCGAAGGATATAAGAGGAGCAATGTGCATTAATTCAGATTCATGTTTTGCCACTTGCAGTAAAACCACGTTGGAAAAATTGCAAGACTACCCCAGCGTGCCCCAGACGGCACACTCCAGAGCTCTTGCCACGGCGCCATCTTGCAGCATTAATCTTATTACTCGCAGGTCACTACTGTTAAATGAAATGTATTTAAATTAGTTTATCTGAGGGATAAAGGAGGGGCCATGCATTTACATAGCTGGGTCACTGGTATTAAATATTAGGTAACTAAACTGCAGTTGTTGCATTTTGAAAGTGCAGCAGAAAGAAAAAGGGCCCAATGTGAATCTGCAATGAGTGTGAAGTGGAGTGTGTGCCTGTCTGTGTATGTGTCTGAGTGTGTGTGTCTCTGCATGAATGTGTGTGTGTCTCTGCATGTATGTGTGTGTGTATATATGTGTGTGTGTCCCTGCATGTTTGTGTGTTGAATGAGGGAGAGGTGAGTGAGAGACTGAGATGCAGAGGCACAGTTTTTCCACATGTATTTGATAAAGAAGACATGTTCAGTCACCTGACTGGCTGCAGCAGTCCCGGTCCACATAGATGACCTCAGGTTCATCTTTGCCCACGTTCTTATAATGGGTGACAATGCCCTGGCACAGCTCTTCCAACCCTGCACCTTCACCCGTCGTCAGAACAGAGTTCAGAACCTGCCCAAACTCATTATCGATGTTTGTCATCCATGCAGCGCTTCCCCCGATTCCACCAGCCAGCTTCTTGGTGACCTGTAATCCAAACACAAGAAGTAAATACCTTTATCTTTTGTAAATATATATGTTACATTTCATTTTTTAAATTATTATTATTGAAACCCTAACCTTCTTGGTCGAATCCATCTTAAGAATTCTACCATGGGTAGAAGTGATGACTCCCTTCATTTCCTCCAGATGGCTGAGGATGTCGTTGGAGTGGACAGTCTCAAACCACTGAGCAAGTGGAAGGGGCCTAAAGGGCAGTGGAGGAGGATAGGCAGCTGCAGAGGGGACAAAGGTAGCCATCTTCTGATGGCTCTCACAGTCCGAGAGGTACCGGATGGCCTGACGTGCCCACTCCTCGCTGTGCACTTCCTCTATTGCCGCTTGGAAGTAGGAGGAGCTGTTTCCGCTGGTCCTCGGCTTCAGGAAGGTCATACATTTCCTGTCCAGAGCCAGGTGTGTAGTGAGGACAGCGGGAAACATGCTCCTGTGGGCTACATCCAGCTGCGAGAGGATGTCCTGGCTCCATGGGCAGACCGGCAGAGCGCACTTGTTGCAACGTGGATAGTCTCCTCCCACCAGGTAGTAGCGACTATCCACGTCAATCACCTCTCTCACCTTCCTGTAGATGCCCGAGCTGTTCATCTTTCGGGAACATTGAGGGCATTTTAGAGGAATCCCCCACATCCTCATTGGTGCCCAGATGAACAGCCTTTGTCTACAGTACCAGCCAGGCTCAGGAGGAGATGGTTTGGGCTCTAGAGGAGGGTAATACCAGGAGGTTTGGAGCTTCTGTTTTAATTGTCCTGTAGGTCCATAAAGGCACTTAGCTATCCAGACCTGATCTGCTTCCTGGATCACTCTCCTAAATGGCTCAGGAAGAAAGCCTTTCCAGTTAATGGATGGTGCTTTGAACGGAGTGTGGGGTGGCATGGCAGAACTGCATGAGGGGAGCGGAGATGGTGTTGGTGCTGGTGTCGGTGGCAACACAGTTGGTTTTTGTGGGGATGGCTTCATGAGTGCTGCATAATGAGCCTGTTGGATGTGAGTCAGAAGACCAACAGCACCCTGCACCTTGGCCCCGCAGCTGTCACAGGTCTCCTCCGTGTGATGGTCAAGCAGATGCTGTGAAAAGTGCTCTCCATCCACAAGCTGCTTGCACTGGAAGCACTGCACTCCAGGTGCTGCAGCTGATGCTCCTGCCTCTGCGTCTCCTCGGACTCCCTCTTCCTCTGTGCTGACTCGGATGGACGCAGCAGCCCCACTGGACGCAGCAGCCCCACTGGACGCAGCAGCCCGACTGGACCCAGCAGCACTGGACGCAGCAGCAGCACTGGTCCCAGCCCGACTGGACCCAGCAGCACTGGACGCAGCAGCACCACTGGACGAAGCAGCACCACTGGACGCAGCAGCACCACTGGACGCAGCAGCACCACTGGACGCAGCAGCACTGGACCCAGTGCCTGATGACAGATGTGCGGGCTAGGAAAGAGCACAGAAAATCAACACCAGAGGAAACAGCAAACAATCAATCAATAAGTAAATAATGAGTCCTACCTTGTGGAACCCGCAGGTGCACTGAAGGCTTCTGCCAAACAGGTCCTTCGTGTTGCTCTGCAGGGGGCAAGCATCGATCCTCTCCAAGGCTTTCTTCCATTTTTTGGCCCCTGGCCGTTTGCCAGTGGAAAAGTGGTAGAGGCCCTGGGCATATTTGGCACAGATGTCCCTCCAGTAACTCTCTGGCTTTCCTGTCTTCGTCATCTGCATCCATTGAATATTAAAGTGGTTAGTGTCAATCTACTCTGCCATGTGCAGCAGAGTAGATATCAAACCAAAGTCACTAAACATGAATATATGACCATTTTAAGTAGCCATGTGTAGCTAGTGTAGTGAATACACTACAGTAAGTAGCTATGTATTGGAGATATTGATTCTGGGGCAGATCAACTGTTGGCTCTGCTCAGACACATGACAAAGAAATACACACTGTGGCACACATCATGGGCAAAATCTGAGCTCATATTGTATATTGTTCATCATTTTCCTGTTGTGCACCTTTTTGTGAAGCTCTTTTGTCAACAACAGTTGTTAGTAATGTGCTATTTAAATACATTTGTTTTGATTTGATGACCAGGCTCTATTAAAGAAAAAATCCTATTCCTCTGACCAGCAATAATAATAGTCATTTATAGTGTGGAATCTATATGTGTTGGACTTTGGAGCTCTGTAATTACTGTATTACTGCTAAACATAATTATCTGAAGGTATTTGTTCTAACCCACATTGCTACTAGTCATCAATGCGTCAATAATATCTAAGTGATGACGTCTCTGTTCTCATCCACATTGACACACATCATATTCAAAGTTCTGTCTGCCTTTGTTCATCTGGAAGGACTCGTAAATAAGAATAATATCTGGGGTTACAGTAATAAGAATAATAACTGGGGTTACAGTAATAAGAATAATATCTGGGATTACAGTAATAAGAATAATATCTGGGGTTAGTAAGTAAGTAAGTAATCTTTATTTATATACCGCCTTTTCACTGCAGATTTGAGTCTCAAAGTGGTTTACAATTGTTAATTTTGGGCATTAGTCTTTCACTCCACACAGAGATGGGAGCGAGGTTGCCAGTACAGGAGGCAAATGCCAGAACTATTGTGCATATTTTTAGTGGTAGGGGAAACCGGAGTACCCGGAGGAAACCTACGCAGACACGGGGAGAACATGCGAACCCAGGACCTTCTTGCTGAGAGGCCAGAGTCCTATCCACTCAGCCACCGTGCCGGTTACAGTAATAAGAATAATAACTGGGGTTACAGTAATAAGAATAATATCTGGGGTTACAGTTATAAGAATAATATCTGGGGTTACAGTAATAAGAATAATAACTGGGGTTACAGTAATAAGAATAATATCTGGGGTTACAGTAATAAGAATAATAACTGGGGTTACAGTAATAAGAATAATATCTGATAAGAATAATATCTGGGGTTACAGTAATAAGAATAATAACTGGGGTTACAGTAATAAGAATAATATCTGGGGTTACAGTAATAAGAATAATATCTGGGGTTACAGTAATAAGAATAATATCTGGGGTTACAGTAATAAGAATAATAACTGGGGCTACAGTAATAAGAATAATATCTGGGGTTACAGTAATAAGAATAATATCTGGGGTTACAGTAATAAGAATAATAACTGGGGTTACAGTAATAAGAATAATAACTGGGGTTACAGGTGCGATCGCGGCTGTGTCTGTTCTCTACAATAGTAATAATATAGTAATAATGGTAATAGGAATAACAGTAATAAGAATAATAGCCACACAGTGCTAATACGTACACAGTCAGAAGTTAGGTTTGAAAAGCGGCTCCGAGACGCAAAAGTTTAAATCTAAGTTTAATAACATGCTAATACGATAGTCTAGTTTTTTTCCCCACAGTTTAGCATTGGGCTAATATGTGGCGTTTACGTTTGGCTCATGTGTGGGATCGCGATGATATTCAGTTTATATGAGGCGTTTGTGAGAACTAATGAAGTGTCATCACTTACCGTTCTCTCGCTGTATATGCCGTAATAAAGATGGCGGTGACTCCAAACTTTTCCATTCGCTCTAGACACGCCCCCATTTTTCGTCAGGTAACGTCACGTGACCTTCTGTATGTTCGGACTGCGTTCGGACTTTGCCGAAAAGCCTTTGATCTCGTTCGGATTGTGTTCGGACCTCGTTCGGACCTTTTGTTATGTGTTAGGAAATTGTTCGGACCTGGAGACAGTCCATTTACTGGAGGGTACGGACTATCTCAGTGACAACGAAGTGTTACAATCTAGTAGTTATCTCACACTCGCTGTACACGACCTTGTCATCTTGAATATCCGCGAAAAAAGAACGAATACCAAATTGTAAACAACTTACAGCGTTGAAACGTACCCGTTCTGACGTCACCAAGGGCTGTGAAGTTTTTTCGTTTCTAAGGGCGTTGCTATGGGGTTATTTCGATTTGGGGGGATCAGACAAAAAAAACAACAACTGATTTTGAAACCTTTAGTAGTTCTCTTCTAATATAAAATGGTATTAAAACTGTATTTCTAAATAAATCAAACCCGTCATAAGGTCTTTAATGCTTGTCCCACCTGGATAAATTTGGAAACGCGTGGACATTATAGTCAGACTTTCCCACATTACTGCGCAAAACCATCTCATTCCCATGTTGCACAATCTCAATAATGAAAGTGTTGAGAAAGTTACACGTTGGGCACATATAGGCCATACTCTTATGTACAGACTTCCTGTTGTTTTAATACTGCCTGTTTCCTCAGTGTAATCCACATACGATGCATGATAAAAGGTAACTAAATATTCTAGTAAATGTAGTTTTCAAAGCACATCTGGTCTGTCTTTTTAGATTTTTCTAAATCAATTAAATAAATGTAGTAAATAAAATTGTACTTATTTTGTCAATAAACATGCAGGGAAAAAAAATCTCTTGGTTGAAAGAGTCTCTCTTTTAATAGATAATCTAAATAAATGTGCAATGTAATGACAGACATTAAACTGGTCCATGGCACTAGTAAGGCTGGGATTCAAAAGACCTCAGGTAATTCGGGCGTTCTGCTCTCCCAAAATTCCATCCGATGGGCGGGTGAGCGACTGAATTTTGCGTTGCATTATGGGTAACACTTGCCTTCGCAACTTCCGGTTCTCTCTGCCCGGCGCATTTTCTCTAAATGGTTGAGTGTTTTCGTCATTTTCTGTATGCAAATACATTCCCGTCTCTAACTAGTGGCATATCGCGCAAATCATCCGTCCAATTCACATTCTTCCCTCTTAGCTGAACTTCATTCTCATTGTTACCATCTGTCACTCGCACACACAGCCGTTTTCGTTCACTCTGCTCGCTGTCATCTTCTTCTAAATCTTCATAAACACCATCCGCTCGTTGAACTAGCAACAACAATTCCTCCTTTCGTTTTCCCACACTGCAAATACCCTTTCGCTTCAACCTTTCACGCAATTCAGGCACTGTCAATCGCTTGTTGTTTTCGTGAGCCATATTCGCCATTGTATGAAATCAACCGGAAGTGCCGCGCAGTGGATGGAATTTTGGGAGAGCAGAACGCCCGAATTGTGTTGGATTTACCTGGTCTACCTATGGAATGTCTCCCATTCACATTCAAGCATATTATTTACAAGGACAACTTTGTGGCACATGTTTCTGCAGGTGGCCAAATGCGCTCTTTGGCCCTCATGTATGAATGTTGTGCAGAAAGGGTGTATATTTTGGGTGTATATTCCGGTTATGCAAGATCCAACGTCGGATTTATGAACGTGTGAGATGCGCCCAGATCTGTGCGTACGCAGATGCGGGTGTTCATAAATGCCACGGCTGAATACGAACGCATTTATGAAAGTCACGCCTAGAATTATGCAGCAATCGCCTGTAAAACGCCCCGTTTTTGCAACAAGTCAGGAGGAAGCCGGCCAAAAAGACTGTTTGGAAGCCTCAAATGGCTTGTGGAACGTTTGTTTGTTCATGGTAATGTAAAAATAAATATACGCTATATATTCAGCTGCGTTTTGAACAAATTTGCAAAAATGTTTTGATAAATTTGAAAAATTTCTCTTGAATTGTAGGAGTGAATAAATAAAGAATGAATGAATTCATATATATTGTGCAGCGGTGGCTCTCATCAAAGTGTCTGCAGCGTCTTGTAAATGCACTGAAGCGCTGTACACTTGAGAGAGCTTTTGCGGTCCAGATTTTACAGAGAAATTCTGGTGCCAAAACTTCTGAATGACAGCATTTGAGGAGTTCTGTGGCGCGACCTCTCACGGCAACTGCTGAGCATGCACTCCCAAGAGTGCGCAGCGGGTGGACAGTGAGACATTTGGAGTGAGCAATACCATAGTCCATCGGTCCATGCGTTAATGGGATGTGTGTCTGTGTGAGGCTTACAGGAATACAGTACAAATAGCCGTGCGGAATTACGCAGCGCAGAGCCTGCCACAGCAATAGATGGGTCACACATCCCTGTCGCGTAAAGCGTATTTGTATAGAGCATTTCACAGTCCAGGATCACGAAGCGCTTCACATTTTAAAAACATACAGATCAAAATAATACACACAGAAGTCAGATTTAAAATCATAGAAACAGAAGAGGCTCCTCATAATGATCTGTGCTTTATTAAAAGTTTGCGTGTTTCCAGAGTGTTTTTCTGATGCGCAAATTCAAATTTAGAAACATGATGCTCAATGAAAACGCAGCTTATAATTTTGTCAGAGTGGGACTATGTTTATTGTTGTCCAAATCTTGAATTTCATGCATGTTTTGGCGTGTTGTGACGAAGGGTGAATTGAGCGTACACATTTACACCACCTCCTGAACCCTGATTTGGCTATACACAAGTTTCATACATGAGGCCCTTTGAGAGGTCATCTAGGACAATCCCACACAACTGTTTTTCTTGTCTTACCTCTGACATCTGACTGCATGCCGCTGGGCTGCATGGAAGGCGCCAGTAAACCCTACGAACAGTGTTGTTACCAGCCTGACAACTGCGCTTAAAGTTAACCACCTCTTAACCATTCATTCTTTTGTGGCACAGGGTTTAACAAAGTGTCTTAAGCCTGGTTCACACGGCAGGATATTTAGGCCGATTTAGACCCGATTTACCCCTTACGACAATCTTAAGAAACGCTCCGATTTCCGTAACAAAATCTTACAGATTATCCTGCCGTGTGTGGTGTGTTAAGACTG